ACCCAATCATGCACCGCAGGCGTCAGGACACACGCGCGCACATGCGGGCAGGTGCAGCAGGTCGCACGCCCCGCCTCCCCGCAGCAGGCCACGCCCCCACCCTCCCCCAGCCTCTGTTCCTCCTGTGAGCCCACGTCCCACCCCAGACCTCTTTCCACCCCTACACTCCGCCTCCCCGCATTCGGACAGCTAATTTGCATGGGCCTAGTCTGTCGGCCAATGGCACGACCGGGGGCGGAGCTTAGTGGCGGGAACTCCGCCAGTGCGCTTGCGCAGTGTACTGGCCTTAGGGTGCTGGAGGTCCACTGGGTCAGCCGGTGGCTGGGGCTCCGCAGCCAGAGGAGTGGGGATTGCGGGGGCGACTCCCACCGCGTGTTCGTGGCGGGTGAAGGGGAGGGTGTGCGCGCTGGGTCCCTCCACCTGGCGCCAGTCCAAGGACTTAGCCTGTCCCCCGAGGTCTGGTCCAGCTGGAAAGTTCCTGCGGTGCCGCGTTCACCCGCAGCGCTGCTTTCAAAGGACCGGAGGAGGTAGCAGCAGCGTCTCGGTGTCGCGAGTCGGTTGTTTACCCCTCACGACGGCGCTGTGACACCTTTCAGGGTGGCCCAGGTTTCCCGCAGGTGACACAGGCACTGAGCCCTGGGAGCCGGGACGGGCTGCAGACAGCGGGCCGCCCGCGCGCTGGGCCTGGCTCCCCGCGGGCTGGAGACGGAGGGCCCGGGCCTGCACCCCGCTACAGAAGGAAGGGCGCCCCCTGCCCTGTACGCGGAGGTGGAGCCCCTGACGGCACCGCAGAGCCTGCAGTGCAGAAGGGAACGCAGGCCACAGAGGTGCTGCTGCGTCCTCAGCCTGGGGTGCGGCTGGAGGTCCAGGCTCCAGAACATTAACCCGGTTCCTCCACCCAGCAGAGCAAATGCATTCCGGGGTCTGGAAGGCATGGAGAGCCACAGAGGAAGGGCAGGCCCAGACAGGTGGACAGCTGCAGACCCCCTTGGGGACAAGGGTTCCTCTCCTTCCAGGTGGGTGGGCCTGGGGGTGCACCTCTCCGCAGTGCCCACTGTCCCAGGGCAGGGGCCTGGCCGGCCCTCCTCTGCCCAGGTGCTCTCCACGTGCTTCTGGGGCAGAACCGCCCTGCTCCTCACAGGGTGGGAGACACCGCGTTTCTCTGCCCGCCCCAGGGAGCGGGTGCCGCCCCCCTGCTCTGTGTCAAGGGCCTGTGTCCTCAGGGCCGGCAGACCCTGAGCACTGCTGGGCTCAGCTGTGTGGGTGACAACCAAGGCCACCAAGACAAAGGAAGACTCTTCCTTTCCAGGCAAGAGACACCGTTTCTTTCCTATCAAGTATGACCATTATGATCACTTTGTCGCCTTCCAGACACCACGAAGGTCAGAATGTCACTGCTCACACAGCTTCACAGCAGCCCACACTCTGTGAGGGACCAACCTGACCCAAGGGTTTGACCTGGGGCACTGAGAGGTGCCCAGGGACCAGCTCCGAGCCTTGGCCAGGAGCCCAGGCATAGGGGGGATGGGGATGGAGAGGGGAGACAAGGGGCAGATGGAGGGCACAGGGCGGTGGGTTGTCCAGCCCAGTGCCCCTCAGCAGCCGCGCCAACCCCTGTTGCACGTGGGTGTTGGTCAGGAATGGTCCTCTGGGAGGGAGCTGGTGCTCACCTGCAGCTCAGGACACCTGTGTGCACGGCTCTGTCTCTGCTGGGGTGACATCTCTGCTACACATTTGTGCAGAGAGTGGGGTGTGCAATTCCTAATTCTTCCCCGTGAAACCCCAGGAGCGCTGACACCCGGTGACAGTGAGCACACCCAGCCACTAAGGGTGGGTTCTAAACACCGTTCTCCATAGAAACAGCCAGGGCTGGGGGAGGGATGCCTGGTCCTGGGACTAGGGAGGGTGGAGCCAGAGGCGCTGGACATGCTGTTGGGCCAGGCATTCCGGAGAGGCTCGTGGGGTGATAGAAATGTGTCTAAGAATCCAGGAGCAGCTTAAAGTGCCCCCTCATGGAAAGATCTGGGAGGACCTTAGCACCAGAAGGAACGGCATTAGTGGGTCAGAGCCCAGTGAATAAGACAGGAAACCATGAGGCCATCGGTCATCAGTATACACGAATGCATGAATGGACAGGTGAGTGAGGGAGGGAGGGAGAGAGTGAATGAGGACAGTTCTTCCCAGTGCAATGCCTTTGTTGAGAAATAAAATCAATGGAGACACGCAGATGAGACACGGAGCGTGTCCGTGATCTCACACCTCTCCCCACACACACTCAGCCACGTGCGGCGGCGTCTGTCTCTGGGTTTCTCTGGGAGTCTGACTGGAACTGGACATTGACTTACCATTGAAGCATCTCCACAAAGTAGCTTTTAATGACCAATATAAAAAAAAAAAATTAAACAGGCCGTGGCTGGTTTGGCTCTGCAGTTAGAGTGTTGACCTGCGGTCCAGGGAGACATGGGTTCAGTTCCCGCTACGGGCATGTACATCTGTTGCAGTTTGTCCCCGGCCCTCATTGGGTCGTGCAGGTGGCAGCCACTCGATGTGTCCCTTTCACGTCGATGTTTCTCTCTCTCTCTCCCCCTCCCACTCTAGCGGATCAAAAAATGGAAAAATGGACATCAAAGTTACAACTAAACTACAGAACAACCATCATTCAAAACTGCCTGAAATCAAGCTGAATGGAAGTCCTACAACTACGGAATTAAAGCAGCAGCCACATCCAGACTGGTAGGAGGGGCGGACGCGTGAGAGGCGGAGGCGGAGGGGCTGGTCCCACACCCACGTGTGGCAGATAAAAATCAGGAGGACACCTAGGCTGGGAAGGTCCTTCCTGAGGACTGAGGGGTCCCTGTCCCACACCAGGTGCCCCGCTCAGGGTTCCAGTACCAGGAAGAGAGTCCCAATAACTTCTGGCTGGAAAACCCAGCAGGAACTGAGGCTCAGGGAGGCTGACACGGCTGGAGCCCCAGGCAGCTCCTTAAAGGGCCCACGCACAGACTTATCGGACTCACTCTCTCTAAGCTTGGAGGGGAGGCAGCTCGAGGGGCACCAGAGACATACAGGGAAGAACTGAGCTGTTTGGCACTGGAGCGAGGCTGGAGAGGGGGCTTTCTCCGGGACAGGCGTGCTGTCAGAGGCCTTTGTTCCTTTGGTGAGCCCTTCCCTGGGGTGGCAGACAGCCCCCATATCTGGGACTCCAGCAACCTGGCTCACACTGGTAGCCCCGCCCAGGTGACTCCCTGAGCCCCCCCACCCCCACCCAACTTTCAGGCCCACCCAAGCTGTTACCACTTGTTTAACCATAGGATTGTCCTGTCTTGGATCCCGCTTCAGGTTTTCCTAAATTCTTACAAACAAGCAGCATCTGGTCTCAGCTAGCCCCATATCTCTCATTAAGTAATACACAGAAACAAACACAGGGAGGCAGCCAAAATGAGGAGACAAAGAAACAGGTCCCAAATGAAAAAAACAGAACAAAACCCCAAGAAAAGAACTAAGTGAAATGGAGATAAACAACCTAACAGATGCTGAGTTCAAAATACTGCTTATAAGGATGCTCAATGAACTTAGTGAGAACCTCAGTGAACTTAGTGAGGGCCTCAAGAGCATAAAAAAAGACCAGTCAGAAATGATGGATGCACAGTCAGAAATGAAGGAGGCATTAACTGAAATAAAGAATAATTTACACAGATTCAATAGTAGAGTATGTAAATCCAAGAAGCAAACCATCGATTTGGAATATAAGGAAGCAAAAAATGCCCAATCAGAACAGCAAAAAGAAAAAAGAATCCAAAAAAATGAGGAGACTGCATGGAGCCTCTGGGACAACTTCAAGCGTGCCAACATTCGCATCCTGGGGGTGCCAGAAGGAGAAGAGTGAGAACAAGAAATCGAAAACCTGTTTGAAACAATAATGGCAGAAAACTTTCCTAACTTGGTGAAGGAAACAGACATACAAGTCCAGGAAGCACAGAGAGTCCCAAACAAGATGAACCCCAAGAGGCCCACATCAAGACACATCATCATCAAAAGGCAAAAGGTTCAAGACAAAGAGAGAATCTTAAAAGCAGCAAGAGAAAGGCAGCTAGTTACCTACAAGGGAGTTCCCAGAAGGCTGTCAGCTGATTTCTCAAAAGCAACTTTGCAGGCCAGAAGGGAATGGCAAGAAATATTCAGAGTGATGAAAAGCAAGAACCTACAACCAAGATTACTCTGTCCTGCAAAGCTGTCATTTAGAATCGATGGCCATAGAAAGAGTTTCCCAGACAAGAAAAAGTTAAAGGAGTTCATCACCACAAAACCGTTATTATATGAAATGATGAAGGGTCTTTTTGAAGAAAAAGATAAAATATATGAACAAACAAAATGGCAGTGAATACATATATATCAACAATGGAATCTACAAACAAAATGAACAGGTAGAACAGAAACATTCTCATAGATACAGAGAACAGCTTGTTGGTTGCCAGATGGGGGTTGGGGGAATGGGTGAAAAAGGTGAAGGGATTAAGAAGTACAAATTCATTGCTAGACTGACAAATCTCAAAGGGAAAGGGGTTAGGGGGTGGGAAGAAATAAACCAAAGAACATATATGCATAACCAATGGACACAGACAACAGTGTGGGAAAAGGCAGGAGGGGGGCGGGAGTGGGGAGGAGGGGGTCACTGGGAAAAAAATGAGGACCATCTGCAATACATTCTACATTCAACAATAAAGATTTTTTTAAAAAATGGAAAAATGTCCTTGGGTGAGGATAAAAAAAAAATTAAACGAATATATGTTCAATTGGGAAATAACTTCCAATAGTCACATTCATCCAATGTCCCATTCATGCCCACCGTGCCCAGTCCAGTCCCCGGAGGTGCCCACAGGCCCATCCTGCAGCTGAGGCTCAAGGAGCAGGAGCAGGTGGGGAGCCGAGATTTCTGTGGGTGTGACCTCAGGCTGCTGGGTCAGCAAGGGGTGAGAGGAGGGCTCAGGGCACCTCAGGAGTTAGATGTGGAGGCATGTGTGGCCCTCAAACCCCGAAGAGCAGTGGCCGGTGCCTTCCTCTGCCCGGTGCAGGCTCAGCCATCCAGGAGCGGGTCCCAGCAGCTCCCCGGGTCCCACATTCAGTCCTCGGGGGCCTGGAGCAGTCAGCAGGCCCCGTGGATGCTCAGACGTCTGCATCCTGAAGCATTTGTCAGCTGGTGGGTCTCTGTCAGGGAACACGGATGCTGTCTCCTCCACGGCCACCGTGGTGACATCTGGCAAGATCAGAAACACCTGCAGGGCTTGGTCGGCTTTGGTGTCCCCATCCGCCTGCTGTCTTCTCCACTGTGGAGTACATTTGGCATGAAGACGCTGGGCCGGCTCCTGCCCTCGGCCCAGGATGCTCAGGGTCAGCCCGGTCTCCCAGGGGAGGAGCAGTGGCCTCCCTTCCCGAGTGAGCTCACTGCACCCTAAGGACCCAGCACCCACAGGGAACTGGGACCCCACCCAGCCCAGCAGCATCACCGCCAGGGTGGGACAAGCATTAGTACCTGATCCCTGTGTGTCCTCTGGGTGGTTTCTCCTGCAAAACAGAGACACGTGCATTGGGGGGGGGGCGATACACACTGGGGGGACCCCAGAGCTCTGCCCCTCACCCTACACCTTCCTGGAGAGACGGCCCCTCAGAGGCAGCCAGACCAGTGTGGATGGCTCCTTGCCGGGCCTGTCTCCAGGGAGCCAGGACAGGTGACAAGACTCAGGGCACCCCTGCCACCTGGCCAGCTGCCAAACTCAGTCCCTAACTCAGCCCAGTCGGACCACCGACCAGGGAGAGGGGTGAGCACCCCACACAGGAGGGGGTGCCCCAGGATCTGGAGAGAAGGGACACTGCCCGGCTGCTCAGAGCCTGGCCCAGACCCTCCCGGGTGAGGACACAGGACAGAGCCTGCCCCTCTCCCTGTGCCTTTCTCTGCTCCGTGCCCGCTCCCCCTGCCACTCGGGCTCCCCGGGCACACAGAGCCCTGTGCAGGGGACAGTGGGTGAGGGGGAACCAAGGAGGGAATGAATGACGTGGGCCCCGCCCCCAGGGCTCCAGGCTCCTGTGCTTCTCTGTCCCCTGAGGGCAGATGGGAGCTCAGGGTCCAAGGTGCTGAGCAGACACCTCTGGGCACAGGGCTCCTCAGACAGGAAGTCCCGCCCTCCCGGGCCCCAGTGCCACACCTCCCCCACTGTGAGGGACAGACCAGGGAGGGTGGGGGAATGAGAGCTGGGACCTGAGCCCTGATGGGACCAGGGGCTGTTGCTTACCACGTGACCTTCTGATTCTGATGATTAAGTATCCCAGTGACACAGTGACAAGGATGACAGTGCAGACACACAGGATGACAACTTTCACCGAGGAGGAGCAGGTCACATCTGTGCTATTGGTCCCAGGCTGGGCTTCCATCTCCAAGGGTCCACTGCACCTGGGGGACAGGAGCGGTGGGGACCTGGGTCGCAGGCCTGGGCACCCTGGGGGCCTGATGCTCACGGGGACCCTCCAGTGTCCCGCTGCACAGCCGGGCTCACAGAGGTGAAGGCTGCTGCCTGGGGCCCCCGTGCGGGGGCGGCTCTGGGTGAACGTGGTCTGTCTGACTCCATGTCCCGCAGCCACGGGAAGACAGAGGGAGAGGAGGGGGAGGCAGGACACCAGGGGACAGGGACACTGACAGGACAGAGGGACAGTGATGGAGATGACAGAGGGTGGAGACAGAGCTAATGCCAGGGACGGACTGTTAAAGCCACAGCCATGGACACAGGACAGACCTGGGGAGGGAACAGTGTGCAGTGGGGCAGAGTGTAGACAAAGACCCCTGGTCCCTCCCCTGTGGCAGCCACACCTGGTCGCCAGCCTCCTCCCATAGCCCTGAGCATCCAGGACAGAGCTGGAACCCGGGGACTGGCACTCAGGGGACCTGCTGCAGAGGGAGGGGGTCCTCACTTTGACAGCCTCCTTTAGGCCTCTCCCTGAGGCCAGAATCTCAGGGAAGCCCCACCGCCATGACACCTGGGGACACCCCAGAACACAGGGTGTGGGGTCTCTGGCCACAGCACCCTGAGCTCCAGGATCGAGGATGTGCTGATGTGGGCGCTGAGCTACAGTGACGACTGCGAGAGAGACACAGGACATGGGCAGATTCGGCCAGAGGGGGGCCCACAGTCTCTCTGCTAGGGGAGGGCCCTTCTCTCCCAGGGGAGCACTGAGGACCTCCCCGGGATCACCTACTTGCTCCAGGGCTCACACACCGCCTGGGTCCCACCTGCAGAGAAGGTTCCAGGCGGGCAGTCTTCACACAGCGTGTCCTGCCTCTCGGTGCCTGAGAACGAGAGTGTCGGGCAGAGGGCTCCTCGGGGCCTCCCCACCCCTGGGCTCTGTCTGCTCTGTGTCCTCACTGGGTGCTGGGGCTCACCTGTCTCCTGCACCCTCTGGCCTGGTCTGCAGTCACTGTGGGGCCTGCACTCAGCACAGTTGTCCCCGTCCACTAGGACACAGAAGTGGCCTCGGTCGCAGCCGCACACAGTGTTCCCGGTGCTGGAGCACTTCCTCCTGGTCACCAGGCCCGTGTCTAGGACCCAGAGAAGGAGTCAGACCCACAGCAAGGACACCAGGGCTGGTGGGGAGTGCCCCGTCACTGGGGGAAACCAAGCTGAGGGCGGGACAGCGCCTGCAGGCCTGGGGCTCCTGCCTGGGGTCTGGGGAGCGCCCTGGGTGATGGGACCCCAGCCCAACTCTGCTCCCAGCTGGGACCCTGCCAGGTGCCCCCAGGCTCTGCCAGAACATACTGCCTGGAGGTGCCCGACACACAGGAGAGTCCCAAAGGGGGTTCAAGGGAGGTGACCAGCAGCCGGCAGGGAAAGGCCAGCGGCAGGGGTGGTGGACGGGTGTCCTGCACAGAAGGCCAGGCCTCTGGGGGACACTGAGACCTCCCAGCCTGGGCCCGACAGGAAGTGAGGTCCCGTCAGTAGGGACAGGCTGAGGCCAGTCCCAGCCCCAGGCTGCCCCCCTGAAGACGCCCTCAGACAGGTTCCCATCCTGCAAACCAGGCTGGTCAGATGGCAGCCACAGGGCAGGAGCCCCCTCAGCTGGCGGTGGGTGGGGAGCCCTCCTGAGACAGCCTCCTGCCATCTGCCCCGGCTCAGCCCGTCACACAGGGCTCCCTGGGGGATCTGTGGTTGTAGCAGGAGGCTCCCCCACCTCCCTGAACCCCAAGCATCCTGGCCTCCACCTCAGCCCTGGCCTTCCTCCTGGGGTGCCCAGCCCAGATCACCTGCCCTGGGCAGGAAGCAGGCCTCGGGTCCAGTGCTCAGCCTGAGGAGGGTCCTCGGGTGGGCGAGAGGTTTGGGGGTCCTGAGACCCTGCACTCAGGTGAAGGAGGCCTGTCCCTGGGCACACGGGCTGGGGGTTTGCCCCAGGCTGGGGGCCCTTGAAATGAAAAAGGGTCCCTGAGCCCTGGAGGGCCCGGGTCATGGGGTCACGGGGAAGAGCCACTAGCCCCTCCTGGGAACAGGCCGGTGTGGTCATGGGCCTGAGGATCCCCTGAAGGATGGCCGGCAGGGAGCACCCCTGGCTGGTGGGGGGGCCTGGCCCTGGCAGCCTGAACCCCGCAGGCAGGCGAGGGCTGACACTGGGGATTTGGGGCTCAGCACAGAGCAGGTTGGGCTCAGTGTTCTCACCTGGGTCACAGAGGTGGCACGGCAGACACGCCTCCAGGCCATTGCGGTAGGCAGTGTAGGTCCCCGGGGAGCAGGGGGCACACACTGTCCCCGTGGTCTCCCCACAGGCCTCCTTCACCCGGTGTCCTGCAGCCCAGAGATCCACACACTCAGGACAGGGTGCGGCTCTCGGGAGCCCATCAGGTGTGACACCTCCCACAGGGACTCAAAGGCACCTGAGCTGTTCCCCAGGCACAAGGAGCCAGCTTAGTGTGCAGTGAGAATGTTCTAGAAGAATGTGGGGCCTCCTGGGGCACTGAGCCGGGCTGAGACCCAGGCTTCCCGCCATCCGGGGGCTGCCCACCCACAGCCCTTGTCCCCTGGCGGTGAGCTGAGGGTCTCGGGGTGAGTGAGAGCTGCAGGGGCTGCCCTGGGGTCCCAAACCCCCAAACCCTCCTCTGTGCCCAGGGCTTCCTGCCTCCCATGACGTGGGCTCTGGGAACAGAGGTCCAGCCAGTGGAGTGGGGGGAAGGTCTGCCCCTGCCCACAGCCCGGCCCCCGCGGCCCCACAGGGGGTCCCTGCAGGCTGCACCCACCTGGGCTGCACTTGGGGCAGCACTTGGCCCCCACCGGGAACTCCTCCTCCGGGCACGAGGGCATCCCCCGGGCGCAGTGGGCGACTCCCAGCAGGAGAAGGCACAGGGTCTAAGGGAGATGGAGGAGGTGCCTGGGCTGCCCGGCCTCAGCCTCACCCTCCGGGAAATGGGCACCAGCAGCCGGGTGGTGGCAGGAAATGCAGGGACCATACTCACAGGCCCCGGGACAGGACTGTCTATTGTGGACCCTACCCTGAGAGCCTGGGGTGGGGACTGTGCGGTCTGCAGCCTCTGCCCCTCTTCTCCCCAGCTGGTCCCCAGCCCTGGGAACAAAGTCTGGGCCTCGCTGCTGCCCCTGCTGGTCCCGCTCAGCCCTGGGAGCACAGGGTCAGGGCAGGGACGGCCTTCAGGGTTCTCTGGCCTGACAGGGGACACAGGCTTAGGAGGGGCCCCGGCAAACAGCGGTCATCCTCAGGGGTACCCGCGTGGGCTGACAGGAAACCACACAGCCCAAGAGCAGTGGCCTCCCGCCCAGTGCACAGATATTCGAGTTTCTCCCAGGACAGGGCTGCGGCTGTGGGTGATCAGCCCCGGTTGGGCTTCTGCCCTAATGCACGTCCCAGCGCCCTCACCCCGTGGTGGGGCTCACCTTTCACCCCTGAATGGGGTGGTGGGGGTGGGGGTCCATGTGGTGGGAGGTACGGCTTTCCTGCCTGTGCCCCCCATCCCGGTGCTCAGGGAACTGAGTGTCAGGGGCTGGGACAGCCCAAAGAGCTGGGCTGCTGGGGACACAGTCTGGTGTGAGAGGGACAGGGACAGGGCCCAGGGAGACACTGAGGAGGAGCAGATTGCTGGGCACAGCAGGGGGCTGGCATGGGGCTGGGGGTTGGGGGAGCAGAGGCTAACAATCTGGTGACTCACCAGTCTCAGGGCACCAGCCTTGGGTGTGAGGCTCCAGGGGGGCGGCCCCCAGCCTTGCAGAGGCTCCATGTCTGTCCTCTGGACCCTCAGGCCCTGGCTGCCAGCTCGGGACCCCTGCCAGCAGGACCCAGGGCAGGACCCCAGGACTCCATCTTGCTGCTCCAGGAAGCAGAAAAGTATGGAAACTGGTCCTGGGCTCAGGGAGTCATTTCCCCTCCAGCCTAGGGCTCAGTGTGGGCGGAGCACTCTCTCAGGGCCCAGCCCCCTCACCAGGCTCCTGCCCCGTGGGTGAGCCCAGAGTCTGCAGAGCAGTCTCAGCCCATCCTGTCCACCAGCCCCCGTTTCCTGTGGTAGTGGGTGCCCCCCAAGCATCCGCACGTTCCCTGCCGCTCTGCACCCCAGAGAGCTGACCCGAGGCTTCTCCACAGGACCGGCCTCTGAGCTTCTGGTCACCTGTGTCCCCCTCTGCTGGGGGCGGGGCTGTTCCCACCACATCCCAGAGCTCAGCTCTCAAGGGCCCTCCTCCCCAACTCCAGAGGCTGGGCCCCCATTGGAGGAGGGGACCCTTGCGCACACATGGGGCTCCCCACAGTGCGCATATCCTCTCCCACCTGTCCCTGGAGGGGCGGGGCTGGGGGCTTCTTGCCCCCATTTCACAGATGGGGCCATGGGGACTCAGAAAGAGACCTGGCCTTGCCCAGGGTCTCCCAGGTGCAGACTGTGCTCAGAACCGAACCCTAATCTTCCCGGGCAGGAGGGGCTCTCCCCTGGGGTCTTCCCAGCACCTGACCTACCGCAGACCTGGGCACATGTGGGCAGCCTGGGGCGGCATAGCCCTACCCACATCCCAGGGGCAGGCTCCGGGGCTCCAGAGAGGCAGCCCACCCACCACCCTGGAGGCCCAGATGTGGAGCGTCTGGGTGAGTCAGCCTCCGCCGCTGGCTGCTCATCTCGTTTGTGTCCCTGGCTCAGGTGCTGGACATGGCACCCCCACAGCTCCCCTCCTCTGTGATGTCCCAAACCAATGACACCTGGCAGCTTTGGTCTAATCACACCTGTCCGGACCCTGATGTGCATGTCCTGGCTCCACAGGCCCTGGGAAGGTCCCTATCAGGCCCGTCAGCCCCAGCGCCCACCCCTCCTGTGGCTGATGGCTGGACGCCCCGCCTTGCTGAACCGACAACCCTTCTGGGGCTGTCTTTGACACCAATACCTTCACAGTTGCTACCTCATGTCATTTCTGGAGACCCTGGGAAGGAGAGCCTGGGTGCTGTTATGGGGGTTCGGGGGGGGGGCTGACCCATCCTGTTGGCGGAGCTCCAAGTTCTCAAAGCTGGGTCCTCACTGGCCACCATCCCCCAGAGCAACCAGCGCTGAGAAGCAGAGGTGGGACCCGGGGGTGCACAGGTTACAGTCCCCACCTCCAAGGGACTGGTAGAGGGTCCCCCACCCTGCTCATGTCTACCTGCTGGCCAACAGCGTTTCCACTGAGGGCAGGAGCCCTGCCCCCTGCACGTCTGTGCAGCCCACACGGGCCCTGGGAGTGTGTGCCATGCAGACGGCTGCCCAGGAGAACCTGCAGGGACCAGGACAGGCTCTGGGGGGCTGGGACCCCCACTCCCTGCCATGCCTGTGCTCACCTCCCAACTCCTGAGAGGCTCCTCAGACTGGATGTGCTGGAGGGTTCTGAAAGAGGGGGACCTTCTCCCTACACCTGGTGTCATACCCCCAGGACCCAAACCCCCTGACTCGCAACCCACCCCTCCCATCAGATACACCCTCAAATATGATTTCATCCACCCCGGCCTGGGCAGGTGGGGAAATCGAGGCCCAGCTAGGAGCAGGACTTACCCACCGGCATCAGTGTCTCCGCCTCAAGGGGCCTGGCTGCGCTGGCTCCTTCTGCCTCCTCTGGGAGGCCTTCTCGGGTTGCTGATTTCATTTCCTTTGTTTATTTTTTAAGGGATCAAAACATATTTTATAAAAGAAAACAAATTCAGCCCTGGCCAGTTTGGCTCAGCGGTTAGAGCGTCGGCCTGCGGTCCGGAGAGACCCGGGTTCGGTCCCCGCTAAGGGCATGTACCTCGGTTGCAGTTTGTCCCCGGCCCTGGTTGGTCATGCGGGTGGCAGCCACTCGATGTGTCCCTTTCACGTCGATGTTTCTCTCTCTCTCTCCCTTCCTCTCTCTCCCTCCCACTCTACCTGAACAAAAAATGGAAAAATGTCCTCGGGTGAGGATAAAAAAAAAAAAAGGAAAACAAATTCATATAAATACCAGTTAGGTGGAAAAGCATCACAGGGTATACGATATATATTTTCTCTACATAAATTTGCATACTTTAATGCAAAACACCATGTTTCAATTCTATTTTGGGACTATCACAGGACCAACTTCTTGGTGATTCTAGATGTAATAGGATGAATATTTAAATAGACCCCAACGAACCCGGCCGGTGTGGCTCAGTGGTTGAGCGTCGACCCATAAATCAAGAGGTTGCTGGTTCGATTCCTGGTTGGGGCACATGCCCAGGTTGTGGGCCCGATTCCCAGTGAGGGGCATGCGGGAGGTGGCCAATCGATGTTCTCTCTCATCCATGTTTCTATCTCTCTTCCTCTGTCTCTGAAATCAATAAAGAAAAAAATTTTTAAATAGACGCCAACGATCATATCAAGTTGTTTTGTTTTTTTTTATCCTCACCCAAGGACATTTTTCGATATTTTGTTCAGATAGAGTGGGAGGGGGAGAGAGAGAGAGAGAAACATCGATGTGAAAGGGACACATCGAGTGGTCGCCACCCACACAACCCAACCAGGGCTGGGGAAAAACTGCAACCGAGGTACATGCCCTTAGCGGGGACCGAACCCGGGTCTCTCTGGACTGCAGGCCGACGCTCTAACCGCTGAGCCAAACCGGCCAGGGCGGTACTCATATTTTATAAGAGGAGCTTATGTTCCTAATCTGCCAGCTGTAGTCTTGACTTGCTAAGAAATAAAAATACATAATCCTGGCCCACCCCCCCCCCGTTTTTTTTCTTCCCTTTGTGCCCAGGTATGTGGCACTGCAGATTTACTCAAAATGTATCCATTGAGAGTAGGAGAAAGGTACCAATTCATAAAAGAAGAGAGCATCTTCATTTAGAAATCAAAGCACTAACTTATAAGCTTATGGTCGCAACCCAAGCCCCAGCTCCTCCTAGGCACAGTGGGGCGACCTGGGTCTACCCACCGGTTTGGGGACCATGAGCCTCCACTGTATTAAGATAAGTCTGTCCATCATACCCTCCGACAGCATATAATTTATCTCCAAGTAAACAGACCCCCGGTGCATCTCTGCCGATGCCCATTGCTGCCCCCGCAGTCCCCAAACCTGTCTGGGATCCTCTCTCTCCACAGTCTGAGAGTCTGGACGTCAAGGTGTACGCAGGAGCATCACGTCCTCCAATAGCGTAGAGCAGTCTGTTCCGGGTGGTTACTCCGACACCCCCTCTCCTTTTTGACATTTGTGCACAGGGTGTCCATTTATCGGCATGAGGATCTAAACGTTCTGCTGAGAGACAAGGCTTCCAACACGACCACCACCTGCCACACGGACTGGGCTCCTGGGGGAGGACATAGTGGGAACAGAACCCCACTGGCGAGCCTGAGGGTCCCGTCTTTCCACTGTACTCAGATAGCTCCAGCCGCCGTGCCCTCCGCCCGCATGCATGGACCTTCCAAAACAGCCACACCAAGGCCACGCCCGTGTGGGCGCAGGGCGATCCAAGTCTGTTTGGGGTTGTAGCACTCTGTGGCATTGGAAGCCTTCAGTCCGTCTCTTCCTGCAGCCACAGACTGTGTCATCTAACACTGCAATGCCAGGCTGTGGCCTCCTCCCATTCACAGTTGCCACAGGAGTCCACATACCTGGACAGAGATCCTTTTCCAATGCATGTTGCTCTCGGACGCGCTCCTTCTGGGCTCCAGTTTGAAAGGCACCAGAGACATACGGGGAAAACTGAGCTGTTTGGCATCAGGGCGAGAGCTGGAGGGGCAGCTTTCTCCTGGACAGACTGGCCGTCGGAGGCCGTTGTCCCTTTGGGGAGCCCTTCCCCCGGGCGGCAGATGGCCACCATATGGGACTCCAGCCACCTGGCTCATACTCTCTGGTTGCTGATTTTAAAACCTTGCCCTGCCTCCACCGTCTCAGCCTGGTCTCCATTCTCTTGTGTGTTCACTGTCCACCAGGGCGTTACAAGGCCGGCTCTGGGTACAGGGGCTTGGAGTCTCTGGGGGCAGAAAGAAGACCTGGGCTCCAGATCTCCGAGTCAGCCACTCACTCACTCACTCACCCATTCACTCATTCATTCACCCATTCAATACTCACTCATTCACTCATTCATCCATCCATCCATCTTCCCACTCCCTCCCTCACTCACTCACTCCCTCCCTCACTCACTCATTCATTCATCCAGCCATCCACCCACCCACTCCCTCCCTCCCTCACTCACTCACTCACTCACTCCCTCACTCACTCATTCATCCATCCATCCATCTTCCCACTCCCTCCCTCACTCACTCACTCCCTCCCTCACTCACTCATTCATCCATCCATCCATCCACCCACTCCCTCCCTCCCTCACTCACTCACTCCCTCCCTCACTCATTCATCCATCCATCCATCCACCCACTCCCTCCCTCCCTCACTCACTCACTCACTCCCTCACTCACTCATTCATCCATCCATCCACCCACTCCCTCCCTCCCTCCCTCACTCACTCACTCCCTCCCTCCCTCACTCACTCACTCATTCATCCATCCATCCACCCACCCACTCACTCCCTCCCTCACTCACTCCCTCCCTCCCTCCCTCACTCACTCATTCATCCATCCATCCACCCACTCCCTCCCTCACTCACTCATTCATCCATCCATCCACCCACTCCCTCACTCACTCATCACTCACTCCCTCCCTCCCTCACTCATTCATCCATCCATCCATCCATCCACCCACTCCCTCACTTACTCCCTCCCTCACTCACTCATTCATCCATCCATCCACCCACTCCCTCCCTCCCTCACTCACTCACTCCCTCCCTCACTCCCTCACTCATTCAGCCATCCACCCACCCACTCCCTCACTCACTCATCACTCCCTCACGCATTCAAGCACTCATTCATTCATTTATTCAGTTATTCATTCAGGGCACATCTTCTCAGGCCAGGTCTTGTTCTGGGGCCAGATTCACCACAGATGAAACGAGATCAATACAGGTGGCTAAAGCATTCCCACCACCCGGCGGGCTGTCCCCTCCCTAGGCCCAGGCCTCCACGCAAGACAGGATGGGGGAGTGTCCCCAGAGGGCCCCAAGCCTGTGTGAGACTCCATGGGGCCCCTGCACCCCATCTTTACCTGGGGGGTGTGGACACTGGACCTCCGATTTGTGCTCTATCACCCTGCTGTCCTCTGGAGGCCACCCCACAGCCCAGCCTGCACCCTCCAAGGGGCTGCTGCCCCACTTCATCCCCAACACCTCCCTGTTCAGACATCTTCGTGTGACTCTCTGGAAATTCTCAATCACAATTCCTCTTTCTTTTTGAGATTTCTGGGACCTTGAGGGTGGGGCAGAGATGATGAAAACCCCGGTACCCAAGCCCATGGAGGCAGGGCATCCTGAGAGCCCACCTCGAGGTCCCCTCCTCTCCTCTGCACTAAAGCGCCCCCTGCTCTGTGCAAGGCCCAGACTGCCCAGTGGGCTCAGAGGCAGAGTAGCCCAGTCCTCACCCTCTTGGGGTCGTGGTCTAGCAAGGGAGCCGAGTCTAAAAGCCAGAGTCATGCCCTGGCCGGTTTGGCTCAGCGGTTGGAGCGTCCACCTGCGGTCTAGAGAGACCCGGGTTTG